TTCCTGATTTCTGCACAAAACGTACAATGCATAGGTTTCATTGAAAGCGGCGCAGCGAGAACTTTTATTTGATGTGTTTAGTTATTAGTGATCCTGCGGTCAGCGAGTTTCAGGCGGCTCAATGGTCTAGTAGCATGATACCTCCTTCGGGCATGAGTCCCCCATCAAAAGCGTGGAAAAATGGAGGTGGTCCCGGGTTCAATTCCCGGTTGAGCCCTGCTGTTTTTATATCCTATTTCATGAAGATTATTGTGGCCCATGGACATTGGAATCACTAAGGGGTGTGTAACAACTCATTTCTCTGGCCAAGGAGCAGGAGACACTGCCTAGGTGTGCCCACTGTGTATTTTCTGGATCTGGAGAAGCTACAAGGTTGGCAACATTGGATTGGCAAAGGTTTCCAGAAAGTGCCGGCAGCATAAAGTGTTCAGATATGTGCATAGATGGTGGGAGCAATGAAGTGAGAGAACAAGCTCCTGGACTGGTGGGTGTGAAGAAGTTACATACCTAAACCAGAAAAGCAGAAAGTGTCCTGTGAGCATGTTTTCAAGCCATTAGCGATATTGGAGTGGGAAAGGTTCCATGAAAGAGGCATGATTTTTGGGTTCACATATGATGGTGGTTACGAGCAAAGGTTGTACATTTATTGTGATGTATTTAGGTCGGGCAATAACATGGTGATACTTTTACACAAGAGCGAACATTGAGCCGAGAAAGCTGTGATACAAGGTCCATACAAGCACTGAGCAGGATATTCAGAGCAATTGAGCAGAAAGTGCGAGTACAGTCACTAGGCAGCAGGAGCGTCAAATTCCGAACCAGTACCCATTGCTAAAATGGAGGTTTGAGCATCGGAAAATTCTTGTAAGTGTGAATAAGTATTCCATTTGAAAAAAGATAAGGATATATGCGTACTAGGATTGATGTTTGGGTACGCAGCCAGGAGCTGAGCCTTTTCTGCAAGCAAGTGATTTTGTTCTTGAAGGATGGCAAGTTCGCACTTCTTCAGCTCGAGGTTGGTGGTGACTTGCTGGGTGCGTTCCTTTTCAAATGCGAGGTGGATTTGACGGGCACCAGATAAAAATGTTTCGACTGCTGGTTTTGTAAGCCTGTAGGATTTGGTGTCTTCGGAAGTCGTCTTGCTCTTTTCGATATCGGTTTTCTTTCGAGATGCACAAGTTCTTGCTGAAGGGTTCGTGTTTTCTTTGGCCTTAGCTGATGATGAAGGTTTTATTTTTGAGGCTGGATGCTCGGAATTGCTTTCCAAAGACTGTGGGGCAATGAGTCGTTTACGTTTGCGCTTGGCAATAGGAGGGCTATTCTTGTTGTCGGGACATGGTTGGCTGTTGAAGGGTCAAGAATGTAATTTGAGCAAAGAATCTACTTGCACAATGGGAGACATAGGAGGAGCAGCAACTGTATTCTTGTTTTTATTTGCAGTGGTAGTTTTTCGTTTTCGAGGTTTGCACGCGCGAGATCCGAGTTTCACGGTAGAAGGGTCAATGTTGGGAGCATCTGCAAAATCGGCGTCTGAAGATACAGTGATAGGATTCTCACTGTTTAAATAATTTGAATGTATTTGAGACAAGAAATAAATTTACTTGGTAGCAGCAGCAGGAACAGTGGAAGTTGAGGGAGTCGGCGCCGTCAAAGGATAGCTAAGTGAGAGAACATCATTTTGACTGTGCATAAATGTATGAATACTTGCTTTTCGGCTTCCATTTCATTCATCAAGGTGACTTCTTCAGGGGAGAACTGGAGCCCAATCATGTCGTAGTCGTCTGACGGCGTCGGCGCCATGGTGGTGTGCGATGAGGGGCGGAATAGGGATTTGGAAAAATAAATAATTATTTTTTTGACGCCAATAGGGATTTGAACCAGGCCAAAAATAGATGGTCCCGGGTTCAATTCCCGGTTGAGCCCTGCTGTTTTTATATCCTATTTCATGAAGATTATTGTGGCCCATGGACATTGGAATCACTAAGGGGTGTGTAACAACTCATTTCTCTGGCCAAGGAGCAGGAGACACTGCCTAGGTGTGCCCACTGTGTATTTTCTGGATCTGGAGAAGCTACAAGGTTGGCAACATTGGATTGGCAAAGGTTTCCAGAAAGTGCCGGCAGCATAAAGTGTTCAGATATGTGCATAGATAGTGGGAGCAATGAAGTGAGAGAACAAGCTCCTGGACTGGTGAGTGTGAAGAAGTTACATACCTAAACCAGAAAAGCAGAAAGTGTCCTGTGAGCATGTTTTCAAGCCAGATGGAACAAGAAACAAGAAGACTGCAATGGCAAAACCAAATGTGCACCCTAGTGTTGCCCTAGTGCCATTTCAAGAGAATTGCACAGCAGGCTGCAGTGGTCTTCAACGCCGCCTAATCCAACAATCAAACTGCCTGCACTCTTAGGAGTTACCTGCAGCCATGCTTTGACCTCAGTGGTTGTGCTAGACATAAACCCGAAGATCCCGAGTGCTCTGGCTGGACACTAAACAACTGATCAAACTGACTTCTCTGCCGTTCAATCTAAGATCCAAAGAAAAAGAGGTGAGGTTTCCAGACATCCAATGCACCAGCCAACAAAGGCAACCATCCAAGAATCACAATGACCATCATCTGAGTCAGAACTAGATCAGCCTTAGATTGAGGTTAAATTCCGAATGAGGCACATGAGACAAAGAGGGAAGTTGGGTAGAAGGTAAAAGAGTAAGAAGTTTTTCTTGGAAATAAAGATAACGATACCAACCATTTGATCATCTGCATGCTGACAAGGATAGGGACATTTTGCTATTAATCCAGCAACCAGTGAGCCAGTGGAAGGGCACAGCAAGAGACGCAAAAGCATCCACTTATTCCCATGCCACGCTCGCAGTGCTCCACTTGGTGGATACGATCAACTAGAGCTATCAGAAGCGGAACCTGACTGATTTATAATGTTTGTCAACTACTCGCGTTCTATTCAAGTGTAGATTGCAGCTAAGGTGCAGCATCATTGGGGTGTAGCATGGTAGTGGAGGAGTGGCAAATTAGCGGTGTAGCAGACGTAACAGGCGTCGTAATGCCATGTACCATGTAGCGTGCAAAATGTAGCAAGTGTGTGTAGCGGTAGCGCTTAACATTGTGGTCGAGAAAGGGAATCAAGGATCGATGTAAGTAACATTGGCCTCGTTGCTTGGCTGGAGTCTGAGTGCTTCTGCGTTTTATGAGGGTTTCAACTCAGTGAATACGAAGTGTATTCTTCATATTATGTTTTGAATGCGAGTGTCTCTTGTCAAGCCGCCAGACGAGCCTCTGCATAACCCATTTTCCCTTTAGATTACCATATATGGTGCCAGCGCGTTGTGTTTGCCGCATCCAAGAAGCCATTGTTCTGAGATCTATGTATAGACCGAGGTTGTATCTTTTGTGAAAGTTGTGTGGGAAAAATGAAGAGTTTTTTTCTTCCCCACGTGATGTCATTTTCTGTGCCATTGTCTGTGGGAAAAAGGAGAGTTTTTTTTTGACCCCATGTGACCCAATGGCGATTATGATCACGTCCTTTTTACCTATCTAATCTATTGTCATCATCCTCTTGAGATTTCTGTCAATCTTTCACCACACTATACTTCCCTTTCTCTCGCATTCCCCCATCTTACATTGAGTGCCTTACTATTGTGCCGTATCTGATATATTCTGATAAATTCACATTCATATATGTTGCATCCTTTTATTTTTCTGAGGATTTTGTGTCGAGTAATGTGCGTGCGTAGATGTGACCCCATAGCCTACTGAATCATAACAATATGATTGCTTTTTCTCAATCTAATCTTGTTTACTCATCCTGTTGTGGGTTTATTTATTCATTTTTTATTTTTTTGGTGTGGTGGTAAGTATCGTTCTATATGTTACTTGCCGTATTCTTTTGTGTCCAGAATTGTGACTTGACCAGGAATTTCAGGAACTGGCCAAACTTTGATACAACAGCAAGTCACCGTAGGAGTTTTTGAAGGTCCGACAAGGGGGGATCTAGTCGAAACATTTAGAAAATGGAAAGGGAATGAATGCCTGCCATCACAGATCATTACATTGGAGTTCATTGGACTCTTTCTTAGACCTGTTTGCTCCAGATGTACAATGACGATTGCTCTAAAAAATAGCATAGAAAAGGAAGGCAGATACCAATGTGGCCTACATATCAGCTGTAGACAGTAGGATGTAGGATCCAAAGCAGCGTCAGATCTTGTCATCAACAGAAGTATCACCATAAGATATGATGAGGCACATACCGGTAGATATACACTGAAAGGCATTATATATTTTCCACCTAACCATTTCGTTTGAGGGTTTGAGGATAAAGGAGGGGCAAGTGCGGCTTCATGAAGGCCTATCAGTGTCCAATTAGCATCAATAGTTATGTCTAGAATTAATATGGAAATGTGCAGAACTGTCAGAGCATCATCCATCGTGTATGAGAAAAGGGAGTGACCATTGAACATTGAGTGACCAACGTTTCAATAGCACCTCACCAAGCACCTCACTGCACACACCGCGCAGTCGTGTGGGAGATTGCTCACGTAATGTGGAAAGTTCCGATCAGATCTCGGAACATGCCGTGCTTGCAACGGCCCACTAGGATTTCTAAGGATTGGTGCATGACGGGCGAGAGGTCTGAGTAGCTGTCGAGGTTGAAAGTAATCGATCTCTTGAAGGTCATATTGCCCGAATTTGTGGAATAGATTGTGTTGGAGAAGAGGAAGGGGATTTCGGCATCACCCGACCACTTTGAGCTTATTCTTGGGGCTCTTGGACAACATTGCATATGACTATCAGCGTGCTATCACGCTGCCCAAAAGTACTCCCTCGACGCGTGATGGCATCCTCCGCTTATGATGGCTGGTCTCGAGAAGAGCTGATTGCTAGACTAAAGGAACTAGAAAATGCCACTACTCGACCAAAACAACGGCCACCATCACCAAAACTGCGACCACCAAAGAATTTCCAATTCGCCAAACATTCAAAACGCAAGATCGCACTAAAATTTTGTTATTCGGGCTGGGAGTATGGTGGTCTCGCATTCCAACTGGGGGAAACTGCTCTTCCAACTGTGGAAGGCGTAATCTTTGACGCACTGGCGAAGGCGAGACTCATTGATCCTGAGGGAGGTTTGGAGGGCTGTGGTTGGGAACGATGTGGCCGCACAGATCGAGGTGTCAGTGCCGCTGGTCAGGTCATTTCACTCT